TATGACGATGCCTCTTTTACCTACACAAGTATCTTAACAATTATTACGCCTTCGATTTTTGAAACTACAGAATTCTTCCATTTTTGAAACTCAAAATAGCAAATAAAACGATTTAACTACGTGGTAAAACACAGTGTGACATTTTTCATTATTTAAAATCAAACATAAAAGTAACCATGGTAAATTACCTAGCCATGATTTAGTATTTAAACGTATCGTTAAATTTATTATGCCAAACGCTTTTATACATTGGGCCATCCTTTTATGAAATATCTTATTAAATAATTTCAAATTTAGGCAATTTCAATATGCTCATCTTACAAGTGTAAGGATTGTGACCTCCATATCTATTTATTAAGGGACTTACTTCCACTGTTTCCCCCAATGAAAGGCAACAACATGATTCATGTCTTAAATGAAGGGCTTGTTAATACACTAAGGACTACTGTTTCAGTTCAAAGTTCCTGGAAATTGGTACATAATGTAGGAAAAAATAATTTGATGATTTCTAGTTCGAATATGGGTCATCTTGGGTCAAAAACTAGGTCACAAAGCCTAACTATGGATAAACATTTTTAACACTTTAAAGGTTTCGTTTTCATCAAACTATCCTGAAAATTGGTTGGGCGGAAATGTTGTTTTGGCGATTTGTAGGTTAAGTTGGAATAAGGGTCATCTGTGGTCAAAGCGTACGTAACACACAATATGAAGAAAACCTTGTTAACACACTAGGGGCTACTCTTTCAGTCCAACTTGCCTGGACATTGGTCAGATAGGTTGTTATGATGATTTCAATATGGGTCACCTGGGATCAAAAACTAGGTCACATAGCCCAAATATGGATACTGTTCAAACACCCTGGAAATTTGGATTAAAAATAATTAAAATTGTGTTTATGAACAACCAGTTCATGCGAAATGTATCCGGTTAATCTATTTTGTCTTTCGTGTTGTCATTACCATGCATTTACTTAAATAAAATATAGCCATAGCGTTATTTGCTCTCTATCATCTACAAACAATATAAGATAAACTTATACTTTCATCGTTTATTTTTAGGTTGTATACTTTATAATGCATTAAATGTTATCTGAATAATTACAAAAAAAAATCTAATATGTTTTAATGTCTTTATTGCAGACGGGGGTAGAAAAAAACTGATAATTAAATAAGCTTTATAGTTGGACTTTTAACTTACATTGCAAATTGGTACGTTCGAACTCCAAGTCCAGGCAAAATTCCTATATAAAATATATATAGAAGACGGACAAAACCCCACAAGTTAAAACTCACACCTCAAAATCTGAGTAAACAAAACTCATTTATAGTGTGGACAAAGGCCCTCACATTTCATTTTATAGAGTGGACGTAACCTTACACTTTTTATTACTAATTAAGATAAGCTTTTGATTGACAATAAAAATAACCGACACTGTTGACAATAATTAATGTTTAAATGTTTAATAAATGTTTACCTTTGATATCTTTTTAACAGTTTTTTAAAATTGAATGCTTACCCTTTGATTTTGATATAACAGTTTGTAATATTTATATAGTCTATTATTATTCAATCACATCGTATTGCATATTTTAATTAAATATTAGATATCATTAATAAACATGATCATTGGAACTATGTAAAATAATTAAAGTAAGTATATCAAACCTTAGTAAATCTTTTCTTACAATAACTTGCCTGATCAAAGTAACATGAATTGTATGATAACAAATATTTAGAAAGTGCGGGTATTTTTCCACCCTATAAAATTCATGTGTGGTGTTTTGTCCAAATTTGATGTATAGGTATTTAGGTGTAGGGTTATGTCCTGCAATATACATTTGTATTTTATTCTATCTGGGATCTCTCGAAAACCGATCGCTCGAACTTGCGAAACTGATATATGGTTACTTCGGTGGAAATATTGTGAAAATCACACCTTTTCGCTCCAACAACAACAATTACGGGTCGATATGTATGTAAAGCATTGACTGTCTTATAATTATAAACCTGAACGATTTTATGTCCAAACAGCAATATATTGAGTCAACCTTTCCTCATATAATGTGCACACATTAATACATTATGCGGATCCATCTTAATATGTAGTCAACTGAACAATATATAATGTCAATGTGTCTTTATATGATGTCAATATATCATTATACGATGTGCCTTTTTGAATATATTATGTGGTACCATCCTTATATAAAATCAAAATGACAATATACTATGTCAGTCTGTCCTTATATGATATCAGTCTTTCATGATATGATGTGAAGTTACGAATATATTATGTGGAATAATTCTTATATAGAGTCAACATTATATGATGTCAATGTCTCCTTATTATATGTCAATTTATCAATATACGATGTGCATTTTTCAGTATATTATGAGGAATCGTCTTTATTTTCTTATATAGAGTCAAAACAACAATATATCATGTAGAATCGTCTTTATAATATATTATAGAGTTAACTTAACAATAAACATGTATGATGTCAACGCTTCCTTATATGATGTCAATCTTTCATTATACGATGTGCATTAATGAATATATTGTGTGGAACCATCTTTATATAGAGTCATAATTATAACAGTATAGTATGTTAATGTTTCATTATACGATGCCAGTCTTTCATAATATTATGTGCAGTTACGAATATATTATGTGGAACCATTCTTTTATAGAGTCAATACAACACTATACTATATAGAACCGTCTATATATAGAGTTAACTTAACAATATATGATGTAAATGCGTCCTTATATGATGTCAATCTTTCATTATACGATGTGCATAAATGAATATATTATGTAGAACCATTCTTATATAGAGTCAAAACAACTGTATATAATGTAGAATCGTCTTTATATAGAGTCAACAAATCGTCAGCAGTTTAGAACCGCCCGGGATTCCTTCAAGTCTTGAGATTTTATCACAATGGGATATAGACAGTCCCTGCCACGAACGGTGCATAGTGAGATATAACCCGGTAAATCTAACCCCATCAGTATTATGGCAAAAGCACACGTTATAACTTCATATAAAAATGATATATTCACATCGTGTAATAATAGATTCACATCGTATAATAAAAGATTGACATAATATAATGATAAGTTGACATTATATAATGATGCTGCCACATAATATATTAATAAATGCACATCGTATAATGATTGGTCGACGTCATATAAAGACACATTGACATAATAGATCAGTTGAATTAATATAAGGATGCATCCACATAATATATTCATGAGTGCACATTGTATAACGAAAGAGTAACACAACAACGTTCATTTTTAAAATCTAAGACAAGCCAAGGCTTTCCAAAGATATGTCCTATTTTAGTGACAGTTGGCGTCACATGTTCCTTAACACCTCGTAATCGTGATGGACGTAATTGAGGTTCAACTTTATTGATAACTAGAGATGTGTCCAAAGGACACGGATGCCCCCACTGTGCAGATGTGCTCGTAAACAAGAGCATGCATATCTGTATGTAAGATATTTATGTGGAACTTTATATCTGCCATCCGGTTTAAGAGGAGTTGCGTTCACAAAGTTTCTATATGGTATATAGTGAAAAAATCAACAAAGGGCCATAATTCTGTTAAATTTGGGTCCTTCCTTTACTTCCATCTACACATTAAGGTTGTTCATCCCTGGAAGTTTTAGCAAAATCTGCCAATTCTGTTAAATTTGGTCGCATCCTTCCTTTACTACCATCTACACATTAAGGTTGTTCATCCCTGGAAGTTTAAGCAAAATCTATTATCCGGTTTCAGAGGAGTTGCGTTCAATAAGTTTCTAAATAGTATATAGTGAAAAAATCAACAAAGGGCCATAATTCTGTTAAATTTGGTCGCAGCAAAAATTCCTTCCTTAACTGCCATCTACACATTTAGGTTGTTCATCCCTGGAAGTTAAAGCAAAGTCTGCAATCCGGTTTAAGAGAAGTTGCGTTCACAAAATTTCTACATAGTATATAGTGAAAAAATCAACAAAGGGCCATAATTCTGTTAAATTTGTTCGCAGCAAAAATTCCTTCCTTTACTGCCATCTACACATTAAGGTTGTTCATCCCTGGAAGTTTAAGCAAAATCTGCCATCCGGTTTAAGAGGAGTTGCGTTTAGAAGATTTCGGGACGTACGGACAGACGTACCAACATTTTGGGTTTAGGGGCTATTTTCTTTAATTTTTTTTGTTTACTTAAGGGCTACTAGCCCATAGACCCTTTGATCACGGAATGAACCTATTGTTCTCTTTTATTCTCTTTACTGTTATGTAGCCCCTAAAATCAAAATTGTTGCTCGTCCGGACGGGAGTACGGACGGACGGTCAAGTGCAACGCTATATGCTCCTCACTTTGTGATGGCATAAAAAAATTAAACGTTATAACTGATTTGTCTGCCATCCGTGGGTCATGTAACGTGTATCGTAACCGTGTTGTTGATTATATATTTATAGAATGATACTTGCAAAAGTTTATTTTAGTAAATGACTACACATAGATGCTGTTGTAATTTATTTTTTTTTTAATATTTTATGAATTCACTGTTTAAAATCATATTTATCCCATAATAAACAAATGAATTTATTTTGAAAATTTCACAAGTTTGAAACAATTTTTGCCCAATCAAACGCAACCAATTAAAATTGAATGAATAGATAAACGCAGTGTCCCGTTACAACTCATTTGATAACACTGGTATGTATCTTTCGACAATAATTCAATAATTATGTAGTAGAATAAATATAGATAAATTCACATCTAAACCAGTCAAACCGTTCATTCACAAGTAATATAATTATGATATTTTTCTTGAAGATTCATTAAATATCAAATAAGCATGATTTAAAGAAAAAACACTTTCTTTCAAAACTAGATTTCATGCACTACCTAGTTGGTGATAAATGTATTTTACATAGATTGTACATAGGCCATGTATATTTAGCTCATCCTGATTTAATTATTTCACTAACATTACTTTCTGTTAGCGTCATTAATCTATGTATTATCTTTTCCATTTAAAGGTTGAATTCATAAAAAGAAGAAAGGAGGTTATTTAAATAGCAGGAAAAAAATGTCGGACGTTTTCAAATGTTTTGTTTTCTATGTCGCTTTTACTTTATTTAAGGGTAAGTAGTTTTGTTATCAAATTAAAATCACTATTTAATAATGGTTTAATTGCTTAGTCAATGCTATTTGATATTTTGGCCATTACTATGGTTAGACTTTTTTGATGTGTACTTGTATGTTTTTTGTGTGTTTTTTTTCGGCACGATATGGCCATTTATTTGTTTACGTGCCGTAAAAATCCAAACAAACAAATAAAACTTGTATGTTTTATATTATGCTTTTTATCAACCGTCTTAAAATAACATTTTCATCTAAGATAAATGATTAGCTTTAAATCCGTGCAAATGCAAACAAGTGTACCTTGTACAAAATATCAGTAATGTAAATAGAAACGTAGTAATCTGGAAGAATGTTTGATGTAAGGTTTAGAATGTTACTCAAAATACAGATTTTATTTCTGTTAATACTTTATTAACCTTTTTCAGTCACTGGTATAGACTTCACAATAAGCAGGGAGAATGTTTTACTTGGAAGTACAGGAACATTAACTTTAAGATGTAACATCACTGAAACAGATGTTGAAACTTTATACAGCATCCAGATAAAACAATTAAGGTCCCCCACACTCTCTGGGAATAATGATGATGAGTGGCAGAGGTTAGCATTTATGAGAATATCCACTAATGAAAGCCCTACATTAGATTCAGCTATTATACCAAGTGACAAAGATTATGGTGCTGGAGGATCATGGGATTCTACAACCCCTGCTAACACATATCTTACATTAGACATGAAAATAGAGAAGTTAGTGTGTGATGATGCCAAGACATTTAAATGTGATTTATCATACTTTTCAAATTCACAATCTACGAAACAAACATTATCCAAAAATACCACTTTCACAGCATATGGTAAGTTTATTTCATTTAATTAAAGAAGCATGCACATTTGTACAACATAGATGACTATCAGCCTTATGTAGTTTCTTCCTTTCTGCTTTCCTTCATTACCCACAATTTTTTAAACACCATTATCTCCTTGACACTAATGGTGAATGTTGACTTTAAAGGAGTGATCCTTAGGTGGCCCTCTACAAAAGTTATTAAACATTGTTCAAATGACCCATAATCTGATTTATATCAATAAACCTTAAAAGTAAGCTTAGAAATTATTCCTTTGAAATTATTTTTAAGAATTCCTAAAATGATGTGACAGAGCTTAGATATTAAACTTTTGGTATGTAGCATTACTTTGGTATAAAAAAAATGTAATAATGTAATAAATTATGTCCCTTGGTAAAAGTGCCCTGAACTTAGTTGAGAGGTGGGATCACTCTTTGACTTGTATAGGAACACATTTGAATCACAAAGTGTGAAAAGACATAGACTTGAGTTTAGATTGAGGATAATGCATTGTTTAATTGACTTCTATAACAGTTACACGAATTACATCGTCGGATACCCACGGCCGAACCATTAACATTGATTACATGTTATGTTATGTTATGTTATGCTACGTTATGTTACGTTATGTTACATGTTAACCAACCGTGGGTATCCGACAATGCACGAATTATTGCCCAGGCGTAACAAAATTGACTTCTTTGCAAAATAAATAATCAGATTTTCTGATAATGTGTTCTAGCAACCTCTGTATTACCTTTGATAATTTTGAAAATTCAGATCAGAACAACAGATAGTCCGCTATAATTCAATGAATAAAGATGTATTATTTCTTGTGTTGTCATGATTAAAAGAAATTCTGCTTGGGCTACAAATTCTTTAAATAACTTAATCATAAGTACATGTACAGCACCAGAAACAATCCTGCCGAATAAAGTTGATTTTCACTGTAAAAATGGACATGCAGTAATTACTCTGTGCAATGGCGATAAATTTCAAAGTCTCGATCTCTGTTATCCCTATTTAATACAATCAAAATGGGGTAATAAAGTCATGTTGAGCGTTCGGCAGTCCGTACCTTCGTACCTCTAAGTAAATCAATCTTGGAATCAGTTTCTAAATTTTCTTGAGACTTTGCATGTTATTATAATAAATGAATACGAAAATGATCGGATTCAGAAAGTTTCATCAAAATACGCCCTGAGAGTTAAAAACCTTTGTATCTTTACACAAAGATATATTAAGAATGAAAACAAAGATCATTCTAGTTATATGAGTTATTCTCTATATTCTTATTGAATGGTATATATACACTATTATAGTTCAAATTTTTCCTGTGATTAATGAATGATATAAATAAAAAGCTGGATTTGGCATTGTTAGTTATTTTAGGTATTTATCTACTCTGATCAGTACTACAAGGTTAAGCCTTGAAACACTAAAGTGGACTCAATCAAACCGAGTCTGCAATTTTCATGTAATTTTGTTTTAATGCCTCAGAGGGATCACTTTGTTTTAAGATATTAACAATCGTTTAATGTTAACTTTTATCAACCTCATACAAAATATCTGATATAAATAATCTAAATTAAATGATAAGTAGAGTTGTGCTTAATAATAAATAAATACTATTTAATTAGTATACTTCTTAAATAATAAAATCATTAATTGAAAAGGTATTGATTAGTTATTGTTGCTGTTTAGTCCAAAATCTTAAAGTGACGCTTATGCCCTGGGAATTCATTCCTCTTACTATTTTGTGATCGTTTGGTCTCTGTGTAGAGCATTGGTTCTCATAGAATCTTACCACTATTACAATACTTTACGAGTGGCTTATCTTAACTCTTGTGATGAAATTCGGCATAAGCATTTATCATAATATGAAAATTATGCTAATCAATTTCTTTCAACATTTCAGATTGAACTTAATTTTTGCACTTTGAAAAAAAAAACGAAAAAAAAACATTTAACATGAAAATTCCCATTTCGAGCCATATTGAAACCGTAAAGTGATTGAACTGTATTGACACTAAGCATGCATACAGGTAATGATCAGCAAGGGGACTGCAAACTATGTGATAGGCGTCGGATATGACAGGCAAATATCACATCGGTAAGTCTGTAGCCCTGTTAGATTATAAGTATGATGACCTGTAAAAGTTAAATTGAAATCACATCAAAATTAATTAATACATCTAAATGAAATTCTAACATGTTTGAGTAAGCTAATGGCCGCATTTTTTAAAAACTTGGACTGGTTTTATATTTGAGCTATATTTAGATTTCCGAAAGAAAATATGTAAGAAAAGCGCCCACACATTCTATATTTTGTCCTAAATTACATTTCCGTTGGAAGTATGATGTTGAATTCAGTAAATAATCATGATAATCATTAATAAGGAATGGAGTAACGATTATTTATATAAAGATATTTAAAATTTCAGATCATTAGCTCGCCCCGTTTTTCCAGAATAATTATTATAATAGTGAAAAATGACCCAAAATTGAAAAGCGTTTAAACGCTTTTCACTCAAATCGGACTGAGAATAGCACAAATATATGATTTTCAATGTATTTCTTGTACATTTCTTGGTTATATTTTATTTATATTTCTGTTTTAAGTGCTCATGTTTATGTATGTGAACAATTAAAAAAATATTTTTTATGCTTATAAACCTCAGTGGAGTTCCTTTGAAAAGAAAATATGTAAGAAAAGCGCCCACACATTCTATATGTTGTCCTAAATTACATTTCCGTTAGAAGTATGATGTTGAATTCAGAAAATAATTATGATAATCATTAATAAGGAATGGACTAACGATTATTTATATAAAGTGATTACTTTTTAAAATCAATTTTAATAAATCATCACGTTTAAATAACGTAAAAACAGCAACTCTGAATAGAGATTAATGAACATAGCGGAAAGATATTCGGAAAAACTCGGAAAATTTCGTTGATAGGTTTTACACCACCAATTCATTCGGATCTAATTAACGGTACAAAATACCTGCGTTTACTCATTATTTACAAAGTCAAAGACATATTTGGTTTATATATTTAAAATTGTGTATTTATTATTAAATCATAAGGACTTTCTGCGTCAAGGGAAGTACCTAATTTTATATTTTAAACATAAAGCCCTTACGCAGGCTTGAGGATAAAAAGCTATCAGATACATTTAATTTTAAATGTCTGACAGTATGCAAAATTTTCTTATTGCAAGGTTTCACGCTTGTTTCATGTTGAATCGCGTACCCTAATATAAAAAATGCGTCTAAATGTATAATGAATAAGTAATTTGAAAATTTTAGTTCAACGCAATGTATATGCCTTACATAATTCTTTTTGATAATAAACTATGACCAATAAATAATAAGGGATATTTTTTGAATATGCAGTTTTATATGCCCTTGTTGATCTTTGTTTTCATAATTTATTGGTTTTTGAAATGTGATATATGGTGAGTAAATACAGATAACATTACACAGAGTTATTAAATCTGGTATATGTATTAAATTAAATGCATTAAAGCTACTATTCCACGCAATGTATTTTGAGCGTTTTTCAAATAAAATGTAATCGAAAAATAAAATTTCACCAGAGGCTTGTGCTTAAATGGCACTAGATGATGAATACATGTCTTGTACGACGTAAAAAATCAAATTATACTTAAAGTATTTAAAATGTTTATCATGCTGTAATTTTAAAACGTTGCAACGTTTTATTTTGTAAGTATTTGTCACGGTTCAGAACTGTTCACTATTTAGGGGAGAAGATGTGTAAGCCGCCGGATAGCTCAGTCGGAAGAGCCCGAGGATCCGGTTTCGAGTCCCGGTCAGGCTGCACATTTTACTTACCCTGTGACATTTGGCGCCCAACGTGGGGCCTTGACTGAATGTAGCTCAGAATTTACATTGCTCTTTAACTCTGCGAAATTCGAGGACGAATTTAAATATAGCATGGGAGTATGTCACGGTTCAGAACTGTCCACTATTTAGGGAGAAGATGTGTAAGCGGCCGGATAGCTCAGTCGGCAGAGCCGCGGTACGGTATTCGGAAGGGTCGGGGTTTGAGTCCCGGTCAGGCTGCACATTTTCTCACCCTGTAACATATTGATTAAATTTATAAACACGCCCGCTTACGGATTGCACGTAGATGAGTTGGTTGCGGTTTAACAATAATTATTGTACGCTTGGAAAAAGTTTTTATCTAGCAACTGATTGATTCACAATATATCATAGTAAATAATGTCGATAAAAAGCTACTTCTTCTGCAGAATTATGTACCTTTTTTATTTCAGTCGACAGGTTCATGTTAGGTCTGGCAAAAGTTTTCTAGCCTGCTTGTCTAATATATCTATTTGCCTTTCAAAAAAGTTCGTGACTGAGCTTAAATATCAGTTATTGACAGGCGCCAACTATATTAAGGTTAAATGAATACCATATATATGTATATTGATATAATGTAACCTCGGTTTTATTATCATGATATACTTTTAGCTTCCAAGGTTAGCGTTTTTGATCATCTTGTGTTTGGCGTCCGTCGTTATCATCTTTATGTTAACAACGTATCCTCCTAAACCGATTGATTACTATTCAGGAAAGATCCTTTGGTTCTTTACAAAATTTGCTTATTATAAATGTTATTTGGTCTGATAAGGTCAGAGCTAAAAATTTAAGCAATCTCCTTCCTTTTCAACTACTCTGTACATTTTGATTAAACTGCGCAGTAACTTTACAGAAGTTACTAAATTAAAGTACCTTTCAATGCAAAGATATCCATATTACTCTACACTGACTATAGAGTTATTTTATTTGAATCGGTTGAAAACCCCACGTTTTTACATTTATGAAGATTGATGTATTAAATGGCGACTTTGTAAATACATCTTTTAGACAATTTAACCAATTCTTATTTTAACGGGGCTGAAAAAATGGATTACAATCCAACTGCCGTTATCTATTGGATTAAATGAAACAATAGCAATGTTCTTATTCAAAAATCACGATTTTGGTCATCAACAAAATAAACTGTCAATTCTTCTATACGATATTATCGATATTATTATACATGTATAATCTGTCAAATAAAATGAATATCTTATGTGAAAACAAGATTCTTTGATTGCACATCTAAGACATTCTTTTATAAAATGAGGTCTTATAAATATATGGTATACACAAAATTATAGTGAGAATAAGATATTTAAACTCGCAATAAGGCAGAAACTTAAATATATTTTTTCTAAATGATCAGTATTCCCTTAAACTTAACTCTAGCAAATATATATTCTATAGAATAATCAATAAGGAATTTACATATTGAAACTATCTTGAACAAATTTCTAAACCTTAGTTTCGTAATTTTGTAATATTCCCTTCTCAACCATTGGTCTCCACAGCAGCAGTGAATTGCATTGCAATCCTGAATTGCATAGTAACATGTGAATGTTACATTTCAAATCAACTAGCTACCCCGATAGCTATTTGAAAGCGGCCGTTGAATATTATACAAATATGGACTTTTTAGCTGCTGAATATGATGTGATATGTACTGAAAAAATTAATATTGACCGAGGCGATAGCCACATCATATTCAACAGCTAAAAAGTACATATCTGTTTTATTATATAATTTATAAATATCTTTTATATGGCTTATCACATCTGCCATTGCATACGACGGAAATCATTATTTTTTAGCTTGTCTTCTGTTTTCATAATTTGGTCATTTCCATTGGCATGCTGATCCCTATTGCTCTTAAAAATGTAAAAAGGTAACTAAAATAGACTAATTTGACTCTTATGTACACCCCACTCAACGTTTTTTTTTTCCAGAATAATAACAACAAACTTGGCGTGACGTCATGTCAAAGTCTCGCGTTTTTAGGGATTTCCAGAAAATCTATTTTTAGAAGAAAAACCGGTGAATATAATCTGAAAATCTATTTTTAGGGAAAAAAAAGTGAATATACTCTGATACTGACCTGTTATTTTTTACAAAAAGTTGCTTGTTAGCCAATCAGGGAAAGGCATTTCAAAGCTATTTATAGATTATATAATAATCATAAAAATCATTAATTCTAATTGGATCATTTGGGTTAAATTTTTAAATCTATGACTTCAAAGGACTTACATAAGGAGGATTCTAATTTAGATTTGATTTAAATAATTATTTTTGTTTAACACCAAGAAGCCCGCGCTACAGGTAATTATGGATGGAGTAAACATGTTAAAAATCTGATTACAAGATGAGTGTTAAACAATGAATATATCAGAAATCTAATTATATTACGGTTTGCAATCTTGGTGATTCTTTGTCCCCCAACATGAGATTTAATTACGGGGTGCAAAGTAAGTATTGTGAGTTTCTGACATAAGTTTCTAAAAATAAGAACATAAAATATAAATTAAAAATATAGATCGTGATTTAATGTCGTTTGTAATGTGATGTACAAATGTAGTATATGGGATGTAGGCCTAAGGATAAAATGCTTTTAAACTTTGTAATATGTGCATTAATCCTTACAGTTAAACCACAAGTTACATCATTAGTTGCAAGGAAGAATGGTTGCATTGTACAAGGAATGTCACCGTCTGACATGGCCACTGCTTACGTAGGAGATGAGTTGGAATTCACATGTACTGCTAATATAGGAAGCTCTTCACAAACAATGATTCGATGGCATAGAACATCTGAAACTTCCCAAAATGATGAATTTATTGGATATCAACCATCACAAGGTACATTTGATGAGGGCTCTGCAATCAGTGACAATCAGTGTGGATATATACGAGTAGCTTCAATTAGATACAACACAACATCAGCTGATGCAAATAGGGATAACAATCTGGCATTTGAGTGTTATGTTACAGTTAGCGGAGATCCATATGGAAACTCGTATATCTCAGAAAACAATCCGAGATTTTATACTGAAGTGTGTAAGTTATCTATCACATAGATAAATTGTGTATAAAAGATAATATTATGACCTGATACGTAAGATATATTGTCAGTGCTAAACAAAAGAAAGTCGTTTTAATTTTAACTTGTCATTTATAAACCTATGAATAATTGTCATATTTGTACAATTTATGTGATCATTGACATTCAAAATAGTCAGCTTTTCTGAAAATATTTTCGGAATGAATTCAATATGAAAACATACAATGTACATGAATATAAATTAAATTTTAAAATTGTTTATAGGATTTATATATCTGTGTTTTTAAAGCGGTTTGGAAAGGTCACTTTAAGAAGCGTAAAAGATATTAAACGTCTTGACATTTTATCCACATTCAACTACTATGAAATCTTAAGTAAATCGTATCATTTGTTTTTGCACCACATTGGTAAATCTCTTTTACCCTTTTTCAGTTGTTAACAAGTTTTAAGTACTCTATAACGTGACGTATAACGCACATCACTTGCTGTTACCCATGCACAAAAGGATTAAAAGATAGATAAATACAGAATCCATAAAGAAAGCCCAACTCGACAAAATTGAAAATGTTGCAGGCTCGGTTTGATTGAGCCTGTTCATGGACGGTACTGGAAAGTGCAATTTACCGTCCACACCCCCTAACACCGGCTTAAGCAGAATTCAACATTTAAACATGAAATAGTGAAAATTTGAATTTAGAAACATCCGCAGATATGAAACATCCTTTTGTATGATTAGTTGGATTCTACAAAGATGTGAAAATAGACCAAAAAGCTCCTATGACTCTATCAAAGGTCCGTTACTCATTACGTAATGAAGACTATTTTGAATACCTTCAAATTTTTATATGTAAGTTTCGATAAAAATTGAAGTTGAACAGCATCTTCAGGATTCAATATAACAGATATATTAACCAATCACAGACCTCTTATCTAACAACCTTTAGAATAATTACAAGCCAAAGGATAGCATTAATAAAAGTATAAGTATGCACAAAAACAAATAAGGTTTTTATTTGAAAATCAGTACATCTGTTTTATATATAATTCATAGATTTAAGTCTACCTTTTCTTTTACAGATAACCCATGTAGTGAAGATTCAGGTAATACTATGATTACAACAGGTAAAACAATAACTTCAATGCTCTCCTATTGTAGATTTGCAGCTGCAAATTCTTTCAGGAACTTTCTGATATGTATCTCAGCAGTTAAAATGACCCCATATATCTTAACAACCAACAATAATTATCACGAATAAAGGACTTTGAATCCTCATTGTATAAATTCTCAATGCATGCGTTTCTCTTTGCTATATATGCTACCTGCTGTTAAAAAAAATATGAAAAGAACAATAACAAAATACATGTATAAAAGAAAATATGTAAGTATATTTCCTTACTGGCTTATGTCACGTGTACAAAATCATTGCTTAAAATAGGAACATAATATTTTCTTCAAGAACATTTTATACTGTTAGCGTATAAATCATGTGAGTTTAAAAACAGAAACATTACTCTTTTGTTAGTCAATCATAAAATTAAGAAAACAACATTTTACCAATTATAGCTGTTATAATAGCATTAAATTAGGTATAGCTTAACATAGTTTAGGTATCATTTCTTAGTAAATAAGTAAGAATAATATCTACCTCATAAACTCTCTGCGTACTACGTATGTTAAGAGACTTATATAGTGTTATGACCTTATGCCCTTCTATAAATTTACAACTGTTTAAATGAACGCTGAAATTCTGTACATGCGCAATGATGAATGAACTGTTGACCTGCCAATATTATTTTACTGCTTCACCCCTGTCGACGTCTTAGGGTATTTCTGTTATCAAACGTCGCTCAGCTTAATGTACGGTAGTTGTTCGTCTGTAGGAAATTACAACAGTTGTAAAAATGCTATTAGTATGTTGTTACAGTATAAATTGTTTTTTTTTGATTGCAAAGTTTTAGTAAATAAAATAATTATTGCATGGTTGTTTGGTGTCCTCGGTATCAGGGATGCCATTTGCAACATTCAAAATGTGATCCCTGATACCTCGGGGCAACCGTTCCACAAACACCCATGAAATAAGTGTATACAATTGTTATTGCAGATGGGAACGAGATAAGTATATCAGCAGCAGTTATCGCCGCGATTGTCATTACCTCACTAATTGTTGGTGTTCTTATTGGCGTGGTTTTCACATTGGTTATTTTAAATAGAAAACGAACATTAACAGGTACTTTTAATTAACTTGTTAAATATCAATTTATGATTTTCGAATTTTACTTTAAAAAGTTAAAATGTATTTGAAAGGTCGTGATGTGAACTAGATATTCGATAAAATAATAGACTAATGACACCGAAATCTGTGTTTTTGACGCTCATAAAACAGTCCAGATTTTGTTTTAGAAATGAGAAAAACTGATAACCCATTTTTTTAAAAACAGGTCCGAAGAGTCAAAATCAACATCAGCCAACACGAGAAACAGAATTAAATGTTCCGTCACTTTCACCGTGAGTAGCCATCATTTATCGATTTTATTTTTTTTAAGATAGATGATAATGTTTGTTTCTTTTTTGATATTGTTTGTTTCTTTTTTGTTTTTTGTTGTTGTTTTTTTTCAATGTTTTTTTTCCACTTACATCTAAATATACTTAATTATTAAATACACTTAATGATGAAAGATAATTAAGATGAATTACATACATATTTCACACATAAACAAATTGTTACAAAATGATAATTATTATTAGTGTAATAAAAAGATGAATAATATTAAACCTAGCCGAATTTGCAATACCACATTACAAAATCTTCTAATATTTTTTTAGGAATACCTACGAACAACTTCAAAATAGAATAGATACTGAAAGCAGGATAACCTATGATTCCCTTGACGGTATTACAATTGTTTTCTTATTTACATTGCGAACTATTTCATTGATAGTTATTGCTAAATTAATAGCATGGATTTTTGCACTTAACTGAATATTTTAGTGGTCCATTATTGATATCATGTCACGTGGACTTTGGCATTAATCTGTTATTTTACTTGTCAATTATTGATATCATGTCATAAGGATTGTGGCATTATTCTCTATATTTTACTGGTCTATTACTGATATCATGTCACATGGATTGTGGCATAATTCTATATATTTTACTGGTCCATTGTTGATATCATGTCACCTGGATTTTGGCATTAAGTTGTGTATTTTACGGGTCCGTTATTGATATCATGTCACATGAAGTTTTGAATTAATCTGTATATTTTACTGGTCCATTATTGTTATCATGCCACATGGAATTTGACATTTATATATATATTTAAGAAACAATATCGGTCTGAGAGGTATCTTTAGGTTTTTTACGACCTATCTGTCGTTTTGATGCGTCGTAATTGATCACGAAGACAGTTAACTGGAGGTCTTAAAATGTCCGCATCAAAGCGACAGAAAGTCATATACAGATAAGCACAAACAAGTTCGTTGTCATTTCAATTCTAACATGATAATGAAAAGACAAATAAGAGACCTCACTTTTCGCTACTTATCAAGCTTAAGTTGCCGGGTTTTATATTATGTTATTTTATTTAGCATTTTACTTTCGCTAAATAAATAATAATAATTATTATAAAGACTTTATTTAACGAGAGAACTCATTTGAACAAACATATCAATCTTCCATGAGGCCCTCAACAAGGAACAATATAAATTTAACATATTATTAACTATTAAAAGACATAAATGTTAAAACATACAGGAGATTATTAATTTGTATACATCAATGTGTGATAATACCTCAAGTATAAAGTTTTAAAATTGTTCACAGATGTAGCAGACTTAATAAAATCAGGAAGGCCTTCCAAATACAAGATCCAGAATAAACAAAAGACTTACGAAATTGTTCAGTATTTGGACTAGGCGTATTAAGTTGAAAATCAGACATTGAACGCAAAAAGCGAGTATGAACATCTGACGATAAAATGAAATTATTCAATTAATAGGAAGGCGCCTGATTATTCATTATTTTAAACATCATAATAGCTTTTTGAAAAACAACCCTCTGTAAAAATGTCATCCAGCGGAGTTCCGAAAAATGTTCAGCAGATGGAGTGTCATAATCTTTGTCTTGAATTAGTCTTGCAGCTCTCTTTTGGAACTTAATGAGTTTATCTTCTAGAAAAGACGTACAGTAACCGTAAATTATGCAACAATAATCAAGATGTGGTAAGATATGGTAAAACATTGCACGTACAGGTATAGATATGAATAATTTTATACGTGATAAAAATGTAACAATTAGTTACATTTTTAATAGCATTATCAATATGGCTTTGCCAAGACAAGGTGCTGTTAATTGTAATACCCAATAATTTTTCTTCAGAGCTACAAAAAAATTTGTTCTGTTTTATATGAAATACAAGGATCATTACTTTCATGAATATAATTTTGCTTGTGTTTTGAGGAAATAAACATAACCTTAGTTTTGTTAACATTGATAGACATGCGATTCAAATCACCTCATTGGTTGGCATTTAAAAGATCATGAGTAAGAGATTCAACTACTCTGTTAAGCGATACATCAGAGGTTGAAAGGGCGGTGTCATCAGCAAAATTATCAGTTTCTGTTTGTTCCATAGACAAAGGCAGGTCATTGGTATAGATTAAAAACAGTATAGGACCTAGCACTGAGCCCTGAGGAACACCAGTAGTTACTGAACTTGACTCTGAATATAAACCGGATATGTAGTTTGTTGAGTTTTGCAATCTATATAGGAGGAAAACCAAATCTAGGTTATACATTAAAAGCTTTTCAATAATAATAGAGTGATCCACATAGTCAAAAGCTTTAGAGAGATCAAGGACAATTGAACCAACTATTTCATTTTTGTCAATAGCCAATCATCAATAATTCTAATCAATACAGTTTGACATGAATGATTTGACCTGAGTCCAGACTGACGTTGGTAAAGAAGTTGATATTTCTCAAGGTATTGCTTTAAATATGACATGACGTTCAAGAATAAGTGATATCAAGGGAAGTATGGAAATTGGCCTATAATTTCTTTTATCATTTTTAGAACCTTTTTTATGTATAAGAATGACTTTGGCATTTTTGAATGATTTAGGAATTGTAGTGTTTAGAATGCTATTACTGAATATAGTGGTAAATATAGGAGCAATAATGTGGGTCGATAACTTTAGAAACCTTGCACTGATACCATCTGACCCACAAGACTTTGTAATATCAATCGATTTTAATTGGTTCAACAAATAAGTGAGCACTATTTTAGGTATTTTGAAAGGGGGTATATGCTAAAGTTTAGATGCATTTAGTTCAACAAGCTCAGGATTTTCATAACCAGTCTGATTAATGATCTGATGGGATTGGTGGAGATTCGCAAATTGTCTGTTGAATAAATTTGCAGTGATAAAAGGGTCAGTAACAGGGTTGCCATCATCATCATCAATAAAATGTGTTTGAACCTTGGATTTGTAACCATATTATTCATTACCAGTCCATAATTTCTTTGGGTTGTGTTTGTTTTGATTGATAGTATCATTATAATATTGTCGCTTAGAATCATATATGAGCGACTTAACGTGTTGTTTCCATATGTTGTAATTATATGTGTCATTAACTCTATGAAACTGGTGTTTTGTTTTAATAGCATCGATGATGTTTTTATTGATCCAATTTGGTTGGGTGACCTTCTTTACTCGTTTTTTCCCTGGTTGCTGCATGTTTTTCAAGGACAGACAAACATTTATCAGTGAACAAATCTATAGAGTTATCTTGATTTTCTACAGATACTACTTCTGACCAGGGTTGCTTAGTAGATATAATAATAAAATAGCTGTTTCATTCTAAGTATAGTAAGTCTGTTCAGTCTTCCAGAATTCTTTTATTCTTTATTATTTTTTATCGATTAATCATTCTAACACTATCGGAATTTTTTCTATTTAAACAAAGAAGGCCCGAAGCGTGCATTATTCTGCAACAATGCACTCGCCATTCTTATTATCTCCCTGTATATTTTCAAATTGAGGGCGCCATTTTGTTTGAAAAATCTGGTAAATAAAAACAATTTTTTGTCGAATTTTGTTGTGAAAACTATCTAGAATGAAAGAAAATGGTCTAACTAAGAAAATAAATCCGAACACCAATATCTTTAATTCAGTCGTTAACGCTGTACAGACGTTTAAAGTGTTGTTTACGTGACGTCACAATGTAGCGCCAAACAGCACGTGCAAAACAATCAAAATCAAGTACGCTATTTTAACGTCGCAGACGAGTTAAGTTTTACATTTATTTCACTTTTAATAATTTGTATTTCGCTTGGAAAATTATAGACTGAAATAAAAAAAAACAAATAAAGTTTTATCAACGTTTTCAAAATTCGTTATTCCCAAAATGTTTCTACACACGGTAGATTTAACGACAGTTTTTTTCAACCCACTGGAACGGCCTTTAAAGAATGTTTCTATTGGCAACTCTGAGGCGAAAACAAATTTAACCGCCAAACATAAAGTCCAACTTTATAATAATAATTATATTTTTTCTTGACGTGTTACAATGGAAATAGATATTAATTCTTCGTGCATTATTGTATAATAATGCACGTTTTTCGTTCAAATGCTTTGTAATTAATCACTCAGGCCTATCGGCCTTCGTGATAATATTACTACGCATTTGAACTCAAACCGTGCATTATTCTACAACAATGCACTCAGAATTGATATCTATTTCCTAAACAAAAAATTAAAATTGTTTATTTACTTGAGAAGGTTCATAAACCAGTCTTCAACCTTCCATATGAGATGAATTGCAAACTTTAATATTTAACACATTTAATAAATGTCATGCCTGTTTATAATATCACATACTTGTATATTATGACTTTATTTAGACAAATGATACTTAATATGTATTCCAATGTGTATAGTTGAATGTTTAATCAATTTAAACGTGAACAATTTATCTAAAGTGACATTTTTTCATATTTTCATTGTCAACATTAGCTTAATTGCCTATATATTTCAATCAATTGACTGTCATAATGATAATGGGTCAACAGTTGATATTGGAATACTTTTGCATAAACTATTACAGGGAATTCCCCAGGATTTTTTTTAAGCGCTACATTTTTTAATAAGACGGGGGTGGGTGCGGGAGGGGGTCTTGACCCCATACCGCGTGTCGAAAATTTTTGCCATTTAAGGTGTCAAGATACTGCTGTGGGCTGTTTTAAAACAAATAATGAAAGCTTTTCACTTGATAAACATTTTCTTAATTTTTATTATTTACTTTTTCCATTTCCAACAATTCAAATAAATAAACAATTATATATAAACACAAGTTCACAACATGTGATCAACATTTATATGTATGTGTGTGTCCCATTTAAATGAGTATATTTCAGTTGTTTTTTCTTCATTAACATCATTAAAAGTGGGCCTGTCTTCTAGGTTTGTTGTCCTTCCATGCCTTGACTGCCTTCTCAAAGTTGAAAGATTCTAATGGGGGTCCTTAAAGGGAGACGGCAAGAAGATAGTTCAGAACTTTAACAGAGAACAATTCCTATTTTCAGTCTTAACTCTCTCTTCAGGCAGCTGAATCCTCGCTCAAAATCTGAAATGAATAAATGAAAGTAATCATTTATGTTAACCTCATGTCTTTTATTTATATTGTTGTTTTGATGTGAATATTTGAAAATTTAAAACTTCAAGCCTATTTAAACTTAACTAAGTAAAAAAAAATTATATTTGAAATGTTGAAAACTTCTAGCAAAGTGTTACACATCTGCAACTGTCATTGGAATTTCATTAATGTTCAAGAATGAATGAATTTAATAATGCTTACCTGCAGTAGAGGTTGGGAGGAGGAGACTCACAGCAGCAATTCTGTAAAGAACTGGATGACTGGTAGAAAGATTGCCAGTAATCCAGGTCATGGTCTGGTCGGCTGACTGATCAGTCCCCTCTAGACTGGCACGTACCTGGTGCCAATGGCTGCGGCACTGCTCCATATCTACACCAAAGTGCCTGGCCAGCTCCTGTATGTTCTGACAAACCAATGCTAAGGGGTAGGACAGTAGATTGCACTTCACAAAGCTCGATTAAAGAGGGCCTGCAAAGTTAATATTTTTTTCATTTTGGGGATTCACTGAACAGACACAGATTACAAGATATGTTTAATTAAAAAAGAAAATGACCAATTGGCTGTCACTAAGTGGGATTGTTGATGTAAAGTTTTTGTTGTTGTTTTCACTCATTTGCAAGTTGATAATGAACAGTCGTAAATGTTTTCAATGTTAACGTAGCCATCAACCAAATTTATTTCTGAATATCTATGCAGTTTAATCCAAGAGTAAAAAAAGAAAAAAAAAAGCAAAATGATCCTGAGACAGTTTCAACGACATTGCTCACAAAAAAACCTCTTAAAATTGATAGTGAACTAGGCTTCCCTTATTGTTAGACATATTATTTTTTGAAATCTTAATACTACAGTATACTACTGTTTAGACGTAACGATCATAAGAAAGTGAAAGATGAAATTGAACATTACGCTTCTATCAAGACAATTAACCCATTCACCCCTAAATATCAAACTGTTATATCGCATGTCAATTAATGCCAATTATATTATCAAAGCAATAAAAGTTATTACACCTACCTGAAACATGTAAATATCACACATGCCGCGGTTAAATTGCACCCATCTCAATACACGGTAATTGACAACACATAAAAGTGCACGAACAGTCGTCTGCAGACATCGATGACAGGTGTATGTGACGTCACACAGTATAAAGGCAATCAGTGTATCGGGTTGTGTATACGCCTCGGGTAATTATCTACACAGGACATGTATATTGGCTTGTTTATTTGGCTAATTGGGGTTACTTATAGACACAGAAGAAAGGGATATCGGTCATTTTTTAAAGCGCTATGATAATTTTAAGCGCATCGGGATTTCTTGTTCTGAAATTTTAGCGCATCGGCGCCGATGCGCTAAAAGCGCCTGGGGAATTCTTTGCTATTATTTATTGTTATCATATCGGTAAAATTCTGGAATATTAAACTTGGTCATTGTTATTTGTTCCTGAAAGTCATCTAGCAATATACGAGGGCTGTTCAAAAAGTTCGTGGACTCCGGTTCTACTGTTCACATCTTTTAATTTGCGTATATGATTTTACAAGAGACATATATGAAAATATGTCCTTAATAAACAGTGAAAAAATCAATACAATATGTTTACAAATAATAATTCTGTGACAGTTACAATTCACAAAGGGTGCTAAATCCGGCGCACGCTGATGATGAAACAAAATGACGTTCGTGACGTCGCAATATAAATGAAACATTTTACCAGCGTCATTGTTTCTGAATGTACTCTTTTCAGTGTTTAATATCTGCGGATCATATACCAAAACCATTTTTCTGTTTGTGATGATGACCCGAGATATAAAGTGGTAACCTTTTTGCTCCTTTCTCCGTATTAAGGTCCGAGTGCCGCATACTTTCCGCTCTTTATCGATATTTTTGAGTAATTTCGACACTTAACAGACAGTGTTATTAAGTTAATTCAATTGTTGATTTATAGTATCAATTTGAAACCGCCCTCGTCCGATCTTTTAATAATATAATTATCAATGATAAAGAAAAATATTTTATCAACTGACAATTATTTTATACGGTAAATCTACTGAACACCGGCTAGCATTAATTATAAAACAGACCAGGGTAAATACACGTAATACAAATAAAAATTATTAATTGTAAATACGCATATATCCTGATAAATGAAATAAAATATTATTTTAATTAAATTAATTAAATGACAGCAAAAATTCACGAACTTTTTGAACATACCTCGTAGTTATATGCATGCATCATTTCTAAATTCATTAAAGGTAATTTGATTTATTTCAACATAAACCATGTGAAATCCAATATTTTTAATGTATACAAATTAGCATTGCATTTTCCCTTGTCACATATTTAATAAACAAGTGTCCCATATTTATGTTATTTTGTATTCTGCTTCAGCTTCAGCGAATTCAAGCGCAGTACAAGACAGGTAATGAACTAAATCATGAATTTCAAACTATAGTAAACACTGTTGTCAATAATGTTTTAGTAAATAATTAGAATAAGGAATTTACATACAAATAACATATTTGTCACGAAATTATTTTTATCTTAATTTCTTTAATAATTAAAACATTTATAACATTTCGCGTCTTATGTTAGAACCCTGGCGTTTTTAAATTATTTATTCATATCACTGATTTCAGCCAATCACAGTATGAGAGTCTTACACGTGGAGAAGGAGGGACATCTCACACTTACGCAGGTCTAAATAACAACCAATAAAATTTGAAAGATCTACCTTGGCTGTTTGGACTACTTCACCATATATGCTCTAGATATAAATTTTGGACACAATCTTAAATTGTCTATAATTTTGAAATTTATTCGTACACACCATGAACATTATAAAAGGATATGATTTTGCAGGAGACTACTCCGCGCAAATGAAGTTATTCGAGCAATCCGAGTTCGACCATATGGAGTTTACTTGTATTTGTGTAGATATGACAGTGAAAATCAAATGTGTTGTCATCTGTTACCTTATCAATTTGATATAACCAGGCTTTATTAAAGAGTAATTTTTCGTATCTCCAGTTTAAATGGTCATATATGCACCCAATCTGATTTAAATCAGCTGTAAATAACGTTATTTATTTAGATCTGACCATCACCAAATACGGAGTCAATTCTCGAGATCTTTCAAACAGCCAATTACCGGCGAGCTTTCATAATTTTGATTCTGTTTCTATTTTTAAACGCCGGAAAGCCAATATGGAGAAGGAAATCATCACGAATTCGAACGATTTACAGGCTGTTCACCCCTCAGACAGTTCACCCTAGGCCATTTTTTTGCAGACACTTAACCACTTAGATAGTTCACCCTCATTTTAAGAAATTTGATTGAAACACTTCATCCCCACTTTTTATTTTGTGTTCAACAATAACTACATGTAATTTGGAAAATGTTAGAAGTATAATTGTATTCAATAGTGATTGAGAAAATTATTTGTTGCATCATACTTTGCTATTGTTTGAAGATAGTGTATATTGTAAGCATAAACCATTGGATAACTTATTAAAATCACGTTCATTAATTTAGTGACAAAATAATGCTTTAAATTTGTACTTGATATTCATAACTTGTGCTTTTTTACTTTAAGAAGTTAATCCATGAATGAAAAGTCAAAATGTCCTTAAAAAGCTGTAAGTTGGTTAATAAAGATATTGAAATCCATTAACTGTATACCATGAATTAACAAATGTTATGCATTAAATCTAATTGCATAGGTATAACAAAAGATGCATACAACAAAGCCGCAAACCACTAAGTTTTTCTTTTTTTAATAGGCATGCATGTAAAGCTTCCGGCATTTCCTGAGACGTTGTGTGCGATTTAAGGTTGTGTTGTCTGTGTGCTGAAAATATTCATCACTGTTTAGATATTCGCTTACAGAAATGTTTAATACTTCATCCCTCAAAGAGAATATGAAATATGTTTCTTTTTTTGCTCGTTCCTTTCCTTATCTTTTTACACGTTTTCTGGAAATGAAACATGCGTCCGTCTTACGATCCGTCATTTTGATAACATCCCAAACTAAGCGGTAGCTTGATTAAATATTACATACCACACATCTATACTTTGTAAAATAGAGAACAACAGAACAGAATGCCTAAAGAACGCTTTAAACGGTACAATTGAAATATTTGCAGTCTCGGTTTGATTGAGCCTTTTCATAAACATGGATATAGGTAAGATAATATAAGATAAGATTTCTTTAGTTCCTCCAAGAATGTAGAGATACATGTTATACAAATGACAAATACAGTACAACCCTAAGAAAAAGTAAGAAAAAAAAGAAACAGTGAGAAATCTAGTGAGTCTTAGTTGTAAGTAACAACAGATATATATCCTGATACCAGTTTTGTACAAGTACCAGTGTTTTTATATATACATGTATAAAATGTATGTTAGAGTTATAAATGTGGTATAGAGATGAAGTAAATAATGTTTAAACAAAGAGATAATATATACAATAAAGTATATCGCTAAAGTTAAAATTAGAGGCTTTATTTATAAATGGTATTCGGTTTTATCATCTGGCCTAAGATTCTTAGCGAAACGAAATGAAAGTATCATAAAGATGATATTCGAATTTTATCATTTACTTGTAAATACTGTATCATAGCATTACCAACACTAGTAGATGAAACTTCGACACATTAGCAAGCTGGGTAGCGTTCTCACATGTAGAATCATGCAACGCTTTCGCAGTTTGGACCTACAGCGATGAGAGGCGACTGGTTTGAAGTCAATGACCTTTACCACTCGGCCACGGACGCCCCTACTTAAGAGAGTTAATTGAGAATTAAAACACTCTCGAGTCCGTTCCTGGAACCAACCAGTACTTAGCAATGAATGTAAAGTTTCTTGTTCAAGGAAACAACGGGTTGTCACTGACAAGGTTGGAACCTCGCAGTCAGCAACCCTTAGATTGCTAGTCCGACGCGTTAACCACTAAAAATGAATTACAGAAATATTTCTCACATAAATTGTAAATTGTTACAAAATAATAATTATTAGTTTTATAATAAAAAAGATGAATAATATTAAACACAGTCGTATTTGCAAGACCACATCACAAAATCTTTTTATAATTTATTTTTAGGAATATCTAAGAACAACTTCACAATAGAACAGATACTGAAATCAGGATAACCTATGATTCCCTTGACGGTATTACAATTTTGTTTCTAATTTAAATTGCGAACAATTTAATTGATCGTTATTTATATTTAATAGCATATCTTTTTTGCACTTACCTGTATATTTTAGTCGTCGATAATTGATATTATGTCACGTGGATTTTGGCATTAATCTATAATTTTACTTGTCCATTATTGATATCATGTTCTATGGATTGTGGCATAATTCTCTATATTTTACTGGTCCAGCACTGGTATCATGTCACATGGATTGTGGCAATAATTTTGTACATTTTACTGATCCATTATTGATTTCGTGTTACATGGATTGAGCCATAATTCTGTATATTTTACTGAACCATTGTTGATATCATGTCACATAAATCGTGACATAATTATGCATCTTTTACTGGAACATTATTGATACCATGTCACTTGGATTGTGGCATAATTCTGTATATTTCACTGGTGCATTATTGACATAAAGTCACATGGATTTTGGCATAAATCTGTGTATTCTACTAGTCCATTATTTATATCTTGTCACATGAATTTTTGAATAATTCTGTATATATATCTGCTATATTACTGATATCATGTCACATTAATTGTGGCATTATTCTTTATGTTTTACTGGTCCAGCATTGGTATCATGTCACATGGATTTTGGCATTTTTTTATATTTAATTACGGGTCTATTTACTGATATCATGTCACATGGATTGTGGCATAATTCTGTATATTTTACTGGACTATTATCATGCCACATGGAGTTTGACATTAATATGTATCTTAAAGAAACAATATCGGTCTGAGCGATATCTTGAGGGGTTTTTACGACCTATCTGTCGTATTGATGCGTATCAATTGATCACGACAACTGTTGGCTGGGGTTCTTAATATCTCGGCAATAAAGCGACAGAAAGTTATATATAGATAAACACAAACAAGTTTGTTGTCATTTCAATTATAAAATGATAATGAAAAGACAAATAAGAGACGTCACATTTCGCTAATTATCAAGCTAAAGTTGCTGGGTTTAATATTATGTTGTTTTATTTAGAATTTTACTTACGCTTAATTAAAACTTAGTAGATATAATAATAAAATAGCTGTTTCATTCAGAGTATAGTAAGTTTGTTCAGTCTTCCAGTATTTTTTATTCTTAATTGTTTTTATCAATTAATCAACAATTAAAATTGTATATTTACTGGAGGAGGTTCATAAACCAGAGTTTCAACCTTCCATATGAGATGAATTGCAAACTTTAAAATCTAACACATTTTAATTAATGTCATACGTGCTTATTATATCACATACTCGTATAATTTGACTGTATTAAGTAATTTTTATTGATATATTCAAATATGTAAAGTTCAATGTTTAGTCGATTTAATCGTTTTATTTTATTTTTATTTAAGTGACATTATGCTCATATTTTCATTGTCAAGTTGACTGAATTGACTATATTTGTCAAAAGATTGACTGTTACAATGATGATTGGCCAGCAGTTGATGTTGGAAAATGTTTGCATAAATTTTTAATTATTGTTATATCATATGCATAAATGTATGGCAAATCGGAATTCTTTTGTGTGATCGTATAAATCTCGATCAATGTTATTTGTTTTTGAAGGTCAGTCTGCAATATAGTTATATTCATGCATCATTTGTAAATGGACTATGTCCATTTTGATTTATATAAATATTTACCTCGTGTATGTATATTGTCGTGTATGTATATTGTATGTGTACAAATTAACATTGCATTTTCCCAAGTCACTTTTTTCATTAACGAATGTTCAACAATATTTATGTTATTGGGGAGGCTATGCCGACCCAATGTTAATAACCATCCGTCAAATCTTACTGCCGCGGTAATCAGGTCAAAAAATAGTACCTTGATTTTTTCTAAGCTGACTCATCACAGACATTTACAATATGAAAATATTTTCATTCTTTTATTTCATATCTGCAATTTGTAAAGATAATAATTCTCTGAAAAATTCTTGATTTTTGTTTAAATCACTACTCCGTGACGTCATACTGCCGCGGTAATCATGTTTAGGCATACGTATGTCTGTAATAAATAGTTCTGGTATGAAAACCCTTCAAAATAATAACTTTATCAATATTCTTTTAACAAAAAGCATAAATGAAAATTTATAAGTAAATGCTTTAATCTAGTGGCAAATATTCTTTATTATTTTTGATAACAATTTTCCAATTACTACGCAGCGACCAACTGTTTATGACGGGTCATTAACTAGAACGTTGCAAACACCGTATTCTCAATATCATGCATGTTCTTTTGTTGTTATAAACCATTAATAGTCCTTAATATTTTTAAAGACAAATAATTGTAAACTGTCGCTTACATCAGAGACATGGATCATGCTTGCGTGATAACTAAGGGAAAACTAACTTATTAGTACACCCCATAGGCTGTACGCGGAGAACGCTCATAAACCGCTATATCATATAGCTGTTAGTAAATATTTTGCATACATTTAACTAAAAAATTCACTGATGGGTGATGAACATATAGTTTGAAAAACATTATATTCTTGAAACCATTATCGCCGAAAAAAAACTATTTAACTACAAAACCCCTAAGGACCCTCCGACAAAATTCCAGCACAATATTACATTTTACATTAGCAAAATAAAAAAAAGCAATACTTATATTTTCATCTTACATAATTCATTAATCAAACTTTTAACATAAAAGTATCTTTGGCAATTGACAGATCCCTACTCTGATCATTTATTTGTATAGGAATAAATTTAAACATGTGCTCTTTTGTTTAGGAATATTTTGTAGTGAAAGTCATATATATTCACTAATCTCATAATTAGAATTAGACAGGTCAGGGATTTATACAACCAGTTGTTTAGTTAACTATGCTCATTTTAATCCATTTGAAACATTCAAATATTTGGGTAAAAAACATGACCAAAGTACCTAGTAGTCGTTTACCCGGTGGTGATCCCATTAAACTGATTATAGATTCGAATTGATTAGAAAACACAAATAGAAACATGTGTTTCCGTACAACAAAAATCGGAAGTAAAGTGAACAGTTAATTGACAGAAATATGTGGTCAAATATGTTTTAACAAGGAAATAATTATTTCAGAGAAAGACGCAAAGATCAGTATGACCCCGTATTGTGTAATTAGAAAGTTTATTCAATTCTAGGGCATACATCATAATTTGATAGTCCAAGTGTAATAAAATTCAAATTTTCAATACAGATTATGAGATACATAAAAAAATATTAAAGAATAAGAAACTTTAATAAAAAAAAAAAAAAAAAAAAAAAAAAAAA